ATTTCGGTTAGTCCCGGGGGCCCATAAATTTTATACAATGTACCAATTTGTTGTCTTAGCACGTTCCATACAAATTACGCAGTGGAGATTCTTACGTTAGTAGGACGGTCTGATTACCTTTAGTTGTAGTGTATTGTAATAAATGATCATGATTTTTGTAATTAGGGAACATTAAGGTAAAATAACAGATGGCGCTAGTGTAGCAATTTTGACTTTGATATTTGACACCCTCCACCTTCAGTTTTCTTGTCACCAACGTCGCAACGTTTCGAATACTTTGTAGTAGCCAACGCGTTATAAATGCAAAATAAGTTAACTAATATAATTCGCGTTTTAAACCAATAAAAGATTTTGTTAAATGTGTACTGCTCGTATAAAATACAAAAAATATAATGAGCTATTTAATGTATACGTCTTAGATCTATAATTATGTCACTCATTGTGGTAGCTCAAAATGTAGTATACTCGTAATAAGTCGAATAAGGCACAGAGGTACTTGAACATACAATCTTAAAGACTGACATAAAAATGTGTAGATTTAGCACATACTATCTGTCTATAGTTACTTACGCAAAGAAGTTATTGTTATCTCGACCAATTTTTATTATTATTCAGTGACGTGGCTAACTCTGGCATGAAGCATAATCGCCTTCCCGGAAGCTTATCGGGGATAGCGGGCTATCAATTTTTACGTACTTTTCCTTTATATTCTGAGGGTTAAACAAATTCAAATTCTCTTTTTAAAGAAACCACTCTTTACTTTGTTTTGTTTTAATTATTGTAAAGTCATCTTTATGTTTCAATACTTTTTACATAGTTTTATATACCTTAGTGGTTTAAATGCAATGCGTTAATTCTAGGTAAAACATTATTGATTTCGTATCCTACTCACTTTAAAATAATTCTTAACAGTGAAACAGACATATAAATATTTTCCCTATAGACTATCCTATAGAGGGGCCTCACAAAATTAATCTAATACTAAAAACTCTTGAAGAGTTTAAATAAAACACTTCAACGGTTTAAAACGCGATATATTCGTTAGTAGTAAGTAATATGCCGCATTTAGAACCGTTAAAGTGTTTTATTTAAATGTGTACTACTCGTGTAAACTATAGACAGGCTGAAGAGTTTGTTTGTTTGAACGCTCTAATCTCAGCAACTGCTGGTTCGAATCATTGTGTTGATTGGGACAATTATTGGGGAAGTAAAGCGGTCCTATTATATATAAGCTATACATAATCAGGTTGCGAGAGCAATAAGAAGGAAGAAACAGAGGAAAATGTGGAAAATAACGGGGAAAATTATTCATCTTTTAGGGTTTCTGTTGCGTGCCGACTTTTAACCTATTTTGCAGCGGTTCAAGATACCCCAAAAATTATGTACCAAAAAATGATTATTTTTAAACAATCTAAAAATATCCCCGACAGTAAAGCTAAGTATTTAACTAACAAGAACCGTTTCTGTAAACTAAAGGTAAAACTTTTGTCAAAATTCTCCATATGGACTCCAGGTCAGCGAGTATTATTCACTTTATTTCGTATTTATACTCTCATAGTTATACTAATCATTGAACTGTGAATTTTTAATAACGCAACGGTAAACTTAACTTATTCAGAGCAAAGATCTCCATTATGAATTGAATATGCACTTAAGATCACTCGTTTGCATAACCTGTGCTGCCAAACGTGAATACAAAATGTAGTGTTACTAAATGAGTTATTTCCATACGTAACGAGCTCGGTATATTAATGTAAACGAGTTCACAACTCCATTTGTTGGCGACATTTTTGATATTCCATTCAACGAATTACGAATATGATAAGTACTCGAATAGCGGAGTTTTGAATCGATTTGACTGTCATTAGGGTGTTACGTCAACCTTGCGAAGGTTAAAATATTTGACTTGCGTATTGGGAAATTCAAATATTTATGAAACTCTTGTTTTTATGGAATCCATTTTAGTAATATATTGAATTATATACTGTTAAAATACGAAAACTAATACATATACTCTGGTGAGATATACAGACAATTAGCCCCTTATAATTCCTGATCACCTGGTATCTAGGACTTGCTGAAGTTAATAATTATTTTTTATTTCATCTCTATTTATTATGAATTCATTTTTAAATGTTCGACAGTCAGTCTCCCCGTGACCACGGCTGCTGCAAAGCGTCCGAAACGTCGGGCCGAAGTTAAGAATCATTTTCAAATAAGTTTAACTAATATATCGCGTTTTAAACCGTTAAAGTGTTTTATTTAAAGTGTACTACTCGCGTAAACTATAGACAATACATTAACAAGTGAAAATTTTTTGAGTTTCCTTTTTTTGTAAATATATCTACTCAATACATTGTTGTTCTTTCGTTAGGGCTGTACACAGTAAGCTGATTATCTACCTGTACATTAAATGAGTTTGAACGAAAAAGTAAAAACGGCAGAAATGAATTACCCCTTCATATGAATATATCTCACATTCCGTATTTAAATCGGAAAAGTGTATTAACGTTCCGTAATCCATCTTAAGCTAAATACCAACTCGGTTCGAAATAAACTTTTCACAGGCTGATATTTTAGCTTAAAGGACTTAGCTTTTAATGGATCTTTACGTAATCGTTAGCTTTTCTTGAAGTAGTATTTAAAAATATACGTCGATATCTTTCATGCCGAAAATGATATAATACTTTCCTTTTTTTGAAAACAATAAAATAGAGAACAAGTCATAATACTAGTAGAGTTTAAATGCACAATCTTAACAATATCTCTTTAAAGTTCAAATTATGCATGAAATTTGGAGAGAATCGAATCCAGGACTCAAAATAAGCCATATTAACTTTCACACCGCGAGGCGATAAATGCGTGACTTGTATATCAGTTGTATATACCTAACTCCAGCCATGTATCGGTGTTTTGGAAATTAATGACCTGCATACATTTTTAATGGAGCGACAGAAACCGCTCGGTCACGTAGTTTTTCCGTAAACACGAACCCATTTGACTAATTTACCAGTCAATATACATTTCCACCTCAATCTTGGATAATTTAGTACGATTTCGGCTTTATATTTATCCGTTCCTATACATTATAATTATTTTATTACGCACTAGCTATGTCAGCGACTTCGTCCGCGTAGAATAGTTATTTTGGGCATCCAAATTTGTTTTCGCAAGCCTCCTCTTCGTCTTTAAATTTAAGCTATCACCAACTACGGCAGTCGCGTCGCGTCGTTCTTGCAAGTTAATCCTATAAGACACATATAAGTCTTTTTAAGAAATTTCTTCTTAAGAAATTTGTTTAGATAATTTAAAGAAGAATAATTCTTTAATAAAACATTTTGGTTACCTTCCATAGAAATCCACAAAGCTCCTCAACTTTTCTACATGAAAGGTTCAACCGACACCAAAGATTTTTTTCAATTCGAACCAGTAGTTCTTGAGGTTATCTCATTCAAACAGACAAACAAACTCTTTAGCTTTATATATAAATATGAACCCATTATTTTTCATAGACATGGTAAAGTTTTATCGTAATTCAGTCAATGGTAGAATTGATTGTTGCGTTATATTACATACATAGCGAATTCAACTTTGACGCTCACATTATAGACTTATAAAAGTTTTAATCATACTCGATAAGCATGTTATCTGATAAGTTTAAGTTTGAATATTTTGTTTTAAGTACACAATTTTGAATTTATTATTTTAGTATACCGTATTGAGATTCATTGACCGTTTGTCTATCTGGCACAATATATTTATACGTTGCTTTTATGTTCAAAGCATTAGTGTGGCTTTTCTTCATATCAATAGTCGATTGCTTCCTGCTTTTATACACACCTGTACAGAACGTGGGTTTGACTGAAAATAAACAATGTTTTTCTTCATATACGAAGAAAATTGATGTATAAAACGATATTTTGCAAATTTCGGCATCAATAAACATTTGAAAATCAATTTATTTGATCGTGTCTACGTGTCACGTTTAAACTATCGTAAAATCCTAAGACGGCAGCAATAACCATTTGCGGAGCCGGCTTCAAGCCACTTGTTTACATAACGATAATATCTAAGTGGATAAAACGTAACTTCAGTAGGTACTCTATGGAATCGTAAAAGGGCAAACTTGAAAAGCGAACGTTGTAAAATTTAATAAAAGCCCGTAAAGGCGAACATTATACATTTTGTTTATTGTTTTCGAGGAGCGAGAAACTTTCAAAATTGTAGGAATCGCTTTTGGTTTTAAGTACGAATTTTCTTAAGATTAATTAATGCAATGAATATAATATTTACGCTATTGATACCGGTATAAAAATCGAATTCAAATATATTTATTAATATCGGTATTTTAAAAAACTATAACTATTTAGGCTTATTATAAAAGGAAATGTTATAGGTACAGTAAATATAACCTACTATCAAACCAGGTATACCTACTCAGAAGGGCCTCTACATTGTTACTTTAATACTATAATGGTTTATAACATATATTGCCTTAAATAAAACACTTTAACGGTTTAAAACGCGATATATTAGTTACTAATAACTAATATATCGCGTTTTAAACCGTTAAAGTGTTTTATTTAAACACTTTTAACTGTTTACAATGCGAAATATATTATTACATTTTTTTTCATTTATTTTAACAAGTACAATAAGTTAAGTATATTTCGCGTATTAAACCGTTAAATATGGTTTATTTAAATGTGTGTTTTAATGCGTAAACCAAAGACAATACTTATGTATAATTTCAATGAAAATTATTTAAGAGTCGTAAATTATCCCAGATACCAATTTTTACATTTTTATTAAAGATCTTCGAGTTATTTATCGACGTATAATCCCTCGTCCGTATTCAAATAAAAAAAACCTAGCTTTGTGCTAAGCGTTCAAAACGAAAACTATCTAGTTAACCCTCTCAATGCAAACTATAAAACGAAATGAATGTTTACTTATGCGGAGTAAAATCGCGCGATGTTGTGACGGTGTACAGGTGGTAAATGATGAGGGGCGCGGCGTTTCTGGCGTATCGAGCGATGGTGCCGGCGCGCGCAAGTGCTCAGTACAAGCGAAGTACGGAGCCCGACCGGTCGCTTCTGCTGTTAAATGCCACTTTCGGTCACGTTACAGGCGGCCGCGCGGCGGTCAACCCGCCACCGCCTACCCGGTCTTTCGCACCCCAGGAGAGTGCAGGACTTAAGTGTGTCAAACGACCCTGACTTGTTTATGTGTTAACCTACTAATGAGCGCACAGTCGCGGTCTTAATGTTCCTCATTTAAATCTCAAACGTGAATTAATTAAGTGTAGTGTTCAAAATGTAATTGACGTTATGACTGTACTTAACACCTTTACTCCTTCCCATTCCAAATTTAAAATCCTGAAAGAATTCTTAATTTGAAAAAGTAAAATTAAAACATTTCCTCTAAGGCAGCATCCTCAATGCGTTTACACGCTATCAACACTTTTCTTAAATGTAATAACGAAAATACTTGTTCCAACTTAACTTTTGACATTCCAAACATTTTTAATTACATAATCGATATTTAACGAGGGCATCGATTCTCGTCGATTCCAAATTCCGACTACGAGTTGAACTGTTAAGGGCATTACACTTTTTAACATTTACCTAAATCCAATATTATTATAATTTCTTGAAAATAGTATTAAATAAATCGCAACTGTCGATTTGTAATGTTTCGAAGAAAATGAAAATTAAACATATTATTATAAAAGCAAAAAGGCTTTTTGCTAAACTAATTCAATTTATTTGGCAGTCTCTCGCAATAATTCATTGATGTAGCTCTACGCCGTAGCAAATCGTAGCAGCTGGCCGGATGCAGCGAGCTACGAAAAGTGTGCTTAAAATATACAGCGACTATTGAATTTTAATCACTCTGTACTTTATATTTATAATGCTTTCATAGTTTTAATCAAACCAACTAAAATAGAATGAAACCAACATTCTTAAGATCCTATCATCATCATCACGCCTTAACAAATCTCATTGTGGGGACCACGGCCTCCTACAATGTTAAAGATAAATGTATAACATAACATGTCTTCACCATGTCCTTACTATTCAAGAAAAATGTTCTGTGACAACCCGAACAGAATTACACACACATAGACAATTTTCTTAAATGACTGGGCATCGAACTAACATATAAGGTAATGGAATGGTTAGTAAATGATGTGGACTGATTATCCGGTCTTGCTCCTAAAGAAAAAAAAACATGTTGGATACCATGAGATCATCATGATTCTAGTCACCAAACGTGTGAAAATAAATTCCATTAATTTCTGGGTTTTAAAAAAGACTACAGATTTTACAACATTATACATACGAAATACTATAAATAATTGATAGTATTGACGACTAGCAATTATATTTTAATATGCAGTTCGATGCATTATTTATAAATATAACAAAATTGAGATAAAAAGTATGTCTAGTTACCTACATTTTAAATAGAAAATATCTATGTAAAATTAGTCATTGCATGCACCCCGTTGCACAATACACATAATAATTTATAATCAAAATTAATCAGTGTAAGCCAGCCTACAGTGTAATTAGAACCTTTCCATAAATAATTATAGTTACAGGTATTTCAGAGCCATTTGTTTTAACAAAGCTGGGTCTAACCCCGTTTCGCGAGCCATTTTCGTGATACTAAAATATTCACAACGTTTTCTTGCGTAAAACGCATACACGACAGAAGCTGTAATTCCATACAGATTTTGTTGACACCTTATTATACTTTGATTTATATAGAATGGACAAAACACTAACAAGATAAAACTTAATATGTATTAGTTAAACCTATTTAGATTTTATTTTAACGGCCCGACGTTTCAGATGCTTTGCAGCAGCCGTGGTTACACTATAAGTTATATATAGACTAATATTTCGCGTTTTAAACCGTTAAAAGTGTTATATTTAAATGTTTTCTACTCGAGTAGACTACTAACCTGATGTATTAATAGTTCATGAATTAAGGTTTTTGGTTATATATGTACTACAAGTCATACATCATTTTATTGATGAATATCACTTAGTGAAAATTAAACAGCATTATAAAATCAACGGTAAAAAAAAATTATTTTATAAAAAATTTAACGGTTAAAACGCGATATATTAGTTAAACTTATTTGAAAATGATTTTTAACTTCGGCCCGACAGTTAAAAAAAAAACAAAACATTTTCAAATAAGTTTAACTAATATATCGCGTTTTTAACCCTTAAAATTTTTTTTTTTTTTTTTTTTAATCGCGTATTAGACAGTATTTAAGATTAAACTAATTAATTTAGAATAAAATATGACACTTCAAATAATTAACTCACGGGGTTGCTTATAAAATAAAAGTTCTTGATCGCCGATATTAACTTATCAACTCGTACAAAAAAAAGAAAATTAATAATGTTACATATTCTTGATACTAGCCTTAAAACGACTATGTTAAGTGTAAGTAGTTAAACACTTAAACAAATACACACTTAACACGTTGAATACTAGCAAAATGTTTCCAAAAAGAACGTAAAGTTTGTCTAAAATACTATTGCTAAAAAAATTTGAACTTGAAATTGTTAATACGACGGACCTGGTAAAAGTATTGATACGTTCGTAATAAACTTACGTAATTCTCAGTGGTAATTTTTTTGTACGGAATATATATTTTCTTAACTCCACAATATCAAATCGTTCCCTTTATGTCAGGATTAAATTAGGCAACGTTGTTTTGCGAGTTCAAAGACGGACAGCGTGATTGATGATCGACGTTTTGATACACGCTTTCTTTACTGGGAGAACGACGAGGAAAATTTTTACATTATTTCTTTAAGCGTGTTCTTATGATAATTAAGCGTTGTTATAAGTCATAAAGGTTAAAACAAGATAATTAAACTCCCGTGACTATATTGCAATAAAATCTGAGACGTCGGGTCATAGTTACGACACATCAGGTGATCAATACTGCGTTCTAAACTACTAAAAGTATTTTAGTTAAATGTGTATAGTTGAGTATAAATAATATTATATCCGATCAAATTCAATACAACACGATGCTCCTTATAAACTCAATAAAAATATAAGTAATGCTAATTTTTGCATTTACTTTAAATCCAAAGCCCTGAGGCAAAATTTATAGAAATCTTAATACAGCCCAAGTTGTAATCTCCAGAGTAGCCAATATTTTAATTGATAATAATTACTAAAAGAAGAAATCGAGAATTTTATCTATGTTCAATTGAGTATTTTTTAAAATTACTATAAAGATATTCTGAATCTGTTTATTTGTCATTACATTTTAATGATATTACGATCTATAAGAATGTTTGACAAAACTTGTGTTTAAGTTCAAAGTGCTGCAGACTAACACAAGAATATTAGCGCTGAATAGGTCAAAAACAAATGAAATCACATGACTGTTGAATGGTTTTCGTACACCTCATTAGGAAAAAGAAAACTGCCGTCCACAGCACAATAGCGTTATGCCAACTTCCTTTATCTGGCTTTCTTCTGCGAGCCGTGCTCGGGGCGGCTGTTAATGAGACCCCGACAGATACACTATCAGTAAACTCTATCTTACATCTTACTGTATAGAGATAAAACTGAAAATTGAGTGTACGACTCAGTTTTTGCCCAGAATAATATATCTGTTTCTTCTATGGCGAATGTCCATTCAAGCGCGGAGTTGTACTGATTTAAACTTTGGCTATTTAAAATTTTAATGGAACCGAGAATCCTTATCTTTTTCCTTCTATTTGCTTTTCTTTGTTTGTACATGTCTATAAAGAAATGTACAAGAATACTATCTTGAAATTAAGAAGAGCACGTTAATACGATGGTTTCCGTAAACATCACTAATTTAGTACCAGCATCGGAACAACAATCGATTAAAACAGTAAAATAGTTCGAAGTGCTGAATTGGGAAAACTTTTAAAACTGTGCTTTTAGCCCGTACAAACTCGACCTAGATTCAGATTTAATTTTATCGGTCAAGATTAATTTCTTTGTTGATTACATGTTTGGCAACTTGAACTCTAAACTTTTATCCATACCACCGGGTGCTAAGTCCACCAAATCAGCAAATTCAACCAAATTTGTCTTTTCTTATTATCCGTTCCACCTTTACTTCCTTGATATTCGATGCTTATAATATTAGTGTGGATATGTTTTCCAATTATACTATTTTGATAAATGGTAATAACAGTGTATATAAAATAAATGACTTCTACTCTAAAGACATTTAATGTACTTACTTTGCTTTTAACGTTTTAAATTCCGAAGAAATTTAATGTCAACACTCCTCTATAAATTAGAAAAGAAACTTCTTCATGTAAAAGTTACAGTTGAGTGTAGGTTGCATTAAATCCCCAGCGCGAACGCACCTTGAATATCTAATATGAAATTTTAACTCGAGCGCAATAAATAAAGGAAAATGGTTTTAGAAAATATACTACACTGAATATTTCCTTCGCGTGCTCAGAACAGAAGGGACGGAGTAGGGTGCGATAATTCTTTTACGTTCTTTATAACTTTTAAAAGAAAACTTTGCGTGTTTATAGCGTGAGTTCGTTGTTGGTTATGAAATTCTGTTCAGCGGATTAAACACTTAAATATTGTTACAATTACTACAAAAGCTAAATCGTGTCTCCTTCTGTGGAACAAACATATTTTTATGTCCGATTCATTGATTGATTTTATTTAGAAACAATTGAGCAGATTTTACAAGAGAAACCGTGTTTGTCAAAATAAGCTATCACGTTCAGTCATTGAGCTACTAGGTATTTAATGTTCGAAATCTTTCTTTTCAGTGTTGCATGAATAAAAAAAAATTACAAAGAAATTTCTGTATCTTGTTTTACAAACACGTAGACGGAATAAAACCAGTGTTTGTGTAAAACATTGTTCACTAGGCTATTTGCTTTTATATTAGTTCACAGCAAAGCCTCAAGAGGCTGAAATCGGATGAGTGATAATAATATATCGGATTCAAATTTTCACATAATTTTCTCTCAACCCAAATAAATATTCGCAACTCAGCTCCGTGACATCTCAAGGGGATTGTACCAAATAATGTTTGCATATTTTGTACTTGATATATTTTCCTTAAACAATATTATTATGTTACTTATAAATTATTCGTACTGTGTAAAAATATTTCCAAAGAGCGAGGATTTAATATTAGATATTTGAGTTATGGAAAAGTTTCTTG